GACCCGAAAAGATGCAGAAAAATTGGTCCACGCTTTTGTTACCTCAAGGCTGGATTACTGTAACTCTCTATTATCAGGTAGCTCTAGTAAGTCCTTAAAAACTCTCCAGCTAATTCAGAATGCAGCAGCACGTGTACTAACAGGAACTAAGAAACGAGATCATATTTCTCCTGTTTTAGCTTCTCTGCACTGGCTCCCTGTAAAATCCAGAATTGAATTTAAAATCCTACTGTTAACTTATAAAGCTCTAAATGGTCAAGCTCCGTCATATCTTAGAGAGCTCATAGTGCCATATTATCCCACCAGAACACTGCGCTCTGAGAACGCAGGGTTACTCGTGGTCCCTAAAGTCTCCAAAAGTAGATCAGGAGCCAGAGCCTTCAGCTATCAGGCTCCTCTCCTGTGGAATCATCTTCCTGTTACGGTCCGGGAGGCAGACACCGTCTCCACATTTAAGACTAGACTTAAGACTTTCCTCTTTGATAAAGCTTATAGTTAGGGCTGGCTCAGGCTTGCCCTGTACCAGCCCCTAGTTAGGCTGACTTAGGCCTAGTCTGCCGGAGGACCCCCTATAATACACCGGGCTCCCTCTCTCTCCCTCTCTCTCTCTCTCTCTCTCTCTCTCTCTCTCTCTCTCACTCTCATCCTATTACTGCATCTTGCTAACTCGGCCATTCTGGATGTCACTAACTCGGCTTCTTCTCCGGAGCCTTTGTGCTCCACTGTCTCTCAGAATAACTCATATCGCAGCGGTGCCTGGACAGTGTGACGTGTGTGGTTGTGCTGCTGCCGTGGTCCTGCCAGATGCCTCCTGCTGCTGCTGCCATCATTAGTCATTAGTCATACTTCTACTGTTATTATACACATATGACTATTGTCACACTAGTATGCTGTCTGATATTAATACATACTTTCAACATATTGTACCACAGTAGCCAGAACTATAACTATAATATTATTACTTTCATTAATGTTGTTGTAAGCTACTGTCATTACCTGCATCTCTCTCTCTCTCTCTCTCTCTCTCTCTCTCTCTCTCTCTGTCTCATTGTGTCATATGGATTACTGTTAATTTATTATGCTGATCTGTTCTGTACGACATCTATTGCACGTCTGTCCGTCCTGGAAGAGGGATCCCTCCTCAGTTGCTCTTCCTGAGGTTTCTACCGTTTTTTTTCCCTGTTAAAGGGGTTTTTTTTGGGGAGTTTTTCCTTATCCGCTGTGAGGGTCTTAAGGACAGAGGGATGTCGTATGCTGTAAAGCCCTGTGAGGCAAATTGTGATTTGTGATATTGGGCTTTATAAATAAAATTGAATTGAATTGAATTGAATACTCCACATTCATACAGGTAGTAGTCCATTCTGATCGATATTTGTACCTGACAGGATGACCTACTCCACACTGATACACATAGTGGTCCATTCTGACCTTAGACATTTGTACCCGAGAGGATGAACTTCTCCACATTTAAAAAGGTAATAGTCCAATCTGATAGATATATGTATCTAATAGGGTGACCTACTCCCCATTGATATAAGAAGTATTCCAATCTGATAGATATTTGTTTTGTGACACAATGACCTGTCCCACACGAATACAAACAGTAGTCCATTCTAATAGATAAAATGTATCTGACAGGAATGCTTACTCCACATTTGTACAAGTAGTAGTCCATTCTGGGTCCATTCTGATAACTATCTTTACCTGATGATGACAAATGCACATTCATAAAGGTAGTAGTCCATTCTGACAGAACTGTGTACCTGGCAGGATGACCTACTCCACCTTGATACAACTAGTGATCCATTCTGATAGATACTTGTACCTGACAGGATGATCTACTCCACACTTATACGAGCCAGAGACTGCTATACCATATAAATAGATTTTTTGACAATGAAAAATGAAGCTTGCCCCTAACCAAATAGCAGCAAGGTGTTTCAATAAAAGGCCTAAATGCAAGCCGTCACAGAGGAGGGATAGGGTAAATAGTCAATTTAATGCATAAATCAAAACACAAATTAAAGGAATAGTTAGCAATGTGGGACTCCACTTCAGTGTCAAGGAAGGTAGTTAAGCTAAATGGTAAAAAAATGAATAAAGCAACACTACACATGAACCGAATCAAAATGGCTCTACAACACTCAGTTTACCCACTTAGACCTAGCTAAGGTGATGCAAACTACACAATAAACCACATGCAAGATGGCTGTCACTCAGTCCCCCCTTTAACAAAGCAGGAAAGCCCCACAAGAAAAATAAAACAGAAAATGTACCACTCAGATAACTGGTTCAAACATCCTGAAATCTGATAGGTCTGGGAAAAACAGTGGTTGGTTTCTCTATAGTTTCCTTGTTTCAGAACTGAAGGAAACAAAAGCACATTAACACACATAAGAAAACATTACAAGAAACATTTTAGAAAACTGTAATAAAAATGTAATGTTCATGAAAGTAATTTGTAAACAAATAATATATGCTGCTAGGCTTGAACACAATCTCCTACTCCAGTCGCAGACATGCAGGTGACTGGAATCTATGTCTATGAAAAAAAAAAACTATGTTAATATTATATTAACAGCAACTATAAACGTATCTTAAAAACATCTTTGTTCTGCTTGGGCATACCTCATGTCTTAGCTGATGTGCCTATGCAATCACTCCAAAGTTCAGTCCCTCACCAAATATGCAGATTTTGCCATACACAATTTGAACGATTATTTAATAAATCTTTAATATTGTGAGCTGTGAAATATGATTTAAATATGATTTTTTCCCCCATTGTTTTACAGTTTTAATCTTAAAAATCATGCTTTGAAACACATTTTAAAAATGGAGCATACCAAATCAAAGATGAAACATCACGCAGTTACAACAGCTACTCTTTGGGGGCGGTATTGCCAGAAACAACCACTGACCAGGAAGAAAAGAAACATCAGGAAGAAGAAAACTTGGCTCATCAATTTGAAAGGACCGAAATTGGAAATCCATCCCCTTCAGCCGGCTTGGTCACCACAAAAACAATGGAGCAACACCAAATTTATACAGTCTTGGGGTTTCTGTTTTTACTTTGGTGTTCAAACCTAATTGTTTTTTCACAAGAAGCTGCCCAGTATGAGCGGGAACTGCCCATTGGTTCGACAGCCCATTGGTTCGACATCCCATTGTTCCGACCATATTAAACTCATTGTTCTGAAGTCCGTTCCGAAATCATCATGATGCCCTGTGGTTAAGGTCTGGTTAGGTTTAGGCACAAAAACCACTTGGTTAGGGTCAGGAAAAGATCATGGTGTGGGTTAAAATGAAAAAGAAAGTGACAAACACATAAGCCGTGAGCCTGCTCCGCCTCAAGCCGGTCGCGGCGCACCATACGCCCGCTGCGAGCCATTCAGCACCGCGGACAGTCGGACTAATGGGATGTCGAACCAATGGGCTGTCAAACCAATGACATGGAGCCGTATGAGCAGCAGGTGAGGCAGCGAGCTATCCAGCATGTTGCTCTGTACATGAGATGAATGCAGCAGTACCAAAAAAGACAGCGGAGTGGTTAAACAGACTCCAAGCAAGGTATTGCAAGGATTTGAAAGTTTTCAGATCACATATAAGTCTGTCACTTCCTTTCTTTGGGCCACTTCCTCTCTTTGGTTCGCTGGATAGTCCATTTTCATTTCCCACTGTAAGCGAACCGCACCAGGGTTCACTTGCAAGTGAACCGAGACCCCAGTTTTCAAACTGACCAGGGTTTGCTCGTTTGTTCCACACCAGAGTTTGAATGAGCATTCACACCACTCTAAATGAACTGAACTGTTCGTTTAAAGCGGACCAGGGTTCGTTTAAAGCGGACCAAATAGCGCCAGTGTGAATGCGTCCTCAGAGTGTCATGAAAGGCCCAGGTGAGCTGCCTGCCGCTTTTTATAGACTCTGTTCCCTGCCTGGGTCCTAGTGCTACAATGCCCCCCCCCCCCCCCCCCCCCCCCCCCCCCCCCCCCCCCCCCCCCCCCCCCCCCCCCCCCCCACACACACACACACACACAGCTTGATGGTTAGCATACAGAATCTTTGCAGGCAATGTGTCTGTTTAGGATGCAAAGATCCAAACTGGGTCTGAACCCTCCTGTGTTCTTGGGAACCAGGATATATGTGGAGTAAAACCCCTTCTGTTGTCTGTCCTGACTGGGGATGACAGACACAGCCTGTTTCTGTAACAGGACCTGGATCTCTGCTGAAAGGTAATCTATCTTCTCTGAGGAGGATATATTCACCTCCTTAAAGACCATGAACACAGGACTGGAGAGCATAGCCCAGTCTCAGCGTCCTGTCCATCCATTCTCTCATCGTGCAGTTGCATCCCCAGTCCCTGTAAAACTGGGTTAGAGAGAGCAACTAGTGGCGGTGTGGCAGCTAAATAGCTGGGATAACCTGTCTCGAACCTCCATAAACAGAGGGATGGCTTATGGGGGGGGCCATTGAAAACGGTCGAGCCAGTGGTGATGTACCTGAACGCATCACCGCCGGCTTTCCCATAAATAAAGCAGCAGCTGATAGCGTGACACTATTTTCAGTCTCTCTTGGCTCCTATGAAGATCAGTGAGGGAGAAATACCTGAGGGATGTTAATCAGAGCTGCTGTTTAGGGGTTATGTGTCCTTTGACAACATATTCTCAGAGTAAAGTGCTCATGACTAGACCTTGATATATCTGCAAAATATCTTCTATTTTGCCAACAAAACAAGCAGTTTTGATGATGTCATACTGGGCTCATGGATCTTGTAATGGGCATTGAGAGTATTCCCTGACATGTTATATACTAAAAAACTATGGAGAAGCTATATCCCTGCAGAACAGCCCATCCTTACATATTTTAAATAGCAACTATGTATGTATTTAGCCACAGAAATATAATCAATCTATTTCTATACATCAAGGTTCATGTGTGGCACAATACAGTTGTCACTGGAGGTGCACTTCAACAACAGCAAAACAGAAAAATGGAGACAAATGTTTTTGTTTTTTTTCAATTTTTTTGTTTATTGGCCACCATTTCATGTTTTCCACATCAATTTGGATATGATGGAATGCTTTGTTAAGTTTCCCCCACCACTGTAGCTGTCAAACCCATCACCTTGCTCTACTCAAGCCTCCTCTCCCTGCCAATCAACACACAGTACATTCACTCTCCTGTTCATGGATGACCAGAAATTATGAACTACTCATTCAACTCACACAGCAATTTATACACCAGTCACACAGCACACTATGCACTCTCTCACACCCACACACACACACACACACACACACACACACACGTGTGGCAACAAGGGTGTTGGGTAGAGCCAAAAGGGATGCAGGAGGTACAGTATGGGTGAGGGGTGGGGCTGTGCAATTGTTCCCTCCCACTTCAGATATAATAGACACTTCTCTCAGACCAACCTGACCAGTAAACTGTACCAATCTTCGTCTGCTTAAGTAACCACAGTGAATCTCCGATTAGGCATGGATGCAGTGCGACCTATCAGAACTGGCTCCAAAAACAATCCCAGGTCTGAGAGTGTGTCCAAGGGCCAACTCTGCCCCAACAGGGCCAACTGGCTACAGCTGGGCACAATGGTACATCAGTTAAATGACAAGTCCTAAATTTAAAAAACAAAACAAAACCTCATAGTGAAAGCAATTAAATAAAATAAGATTTTCCCCAAAACGTTAACCTTTGTTCCTTTTAGAAAATAGTCAGTAGCCGTGCCGAAATAAGGAGACTGAACAGAGAAATTATTTAGGAATGAAGAAATGAAGAAAAAGTAGACTACCCCCCACCAAAAGAAAGAAAACTATTGGTATGAGCTACAGATTGGGGGGCTTTGTGCTACACTGGAGAAGTTCTGTGGGCTTTATATTAGTGAAGACCTTGCAAAATAAACACATCTATAGGATGGCCCCTTGTCCCCTGAGAGATCAGTCCTTACAAAACCACAACACAAACTCAGGTCCTCTGGATTTCCATCTGAGGGAAAAGAACATTGGCACCCCCCCTTACCTACAAATACAGGTTACAACACTCATTTAGCTCGTACCCACATTAAGCAATGGCAAGGGTTTGTTTTTTTTTAAACAGGAGGGGAGCTAATTCAACAGGAAAAAACAAACATTTTGCAAACTGGATCTCAATGCCATTTTAACATTTGGTTTAAAATATACAAGGCAAACAGCTGATGTGGAGCTTTGTAGAGAAGGCATTGAGGTCTTCCATAGAGGTGGTGCGCTGTTCCACAGAGTCCCCCCGGGTGGGACAAGACGAGTCTGGCCAGAAGTTGCGAGGTTGGAGATGTAGCTGGCAAGAAATGCCCTGCCACGCCACTGATGGACTGACTGAGTGGCGGGCTGGACAGCGGGCCGGCTGACTGACTGAGAGGCAATTAAAGGGGAAATATTAATGTTCACAGGAAAGGGAAGGTCCACAAGGAAGTGAAGGTGGTGGTGGTGACTGGTTGGAAGGGGTTGGGGCGGGACTCGTCTCCTCTCTCTCTCCTCTGCCAGGTCTTACAACTCATCATGTCCATCATCGTCCTCACCATCAGAGTCCTCGTCCTGCACTTCATCCACATCATCCAAATCCTGGAGAGCAGAGGACAAAAGGGTCATTGATTAAGACGTAATCTCTCAAATCTGCCAAGCGTGCAGTTCTACTTTATAGTGAATGCCCAATAAAACTAGACCTGCAAGCTCCACAAGATGTTAAATTAAGAAAACAAACCTCCACCAGAATTCTCAGACATACTCCACAAGGCTGCAATACTGGCTGCATAATAATGTTTTTAATTGTAGCTTGGGACCAATCCTGGGAAATCCCTGAGTTACAAGTTACAACAGATTTTGTGAGGTCACAGTGGCCTTGTCCTTTGACCACCAAATTCTTATCAGTTCATTTTTGAGTCAAAATGAATGTTTGTGCCAAATGTGAAAAAATAACACCAAGGTGTTCTTGAGATATTGCTTTCATGAGAATGAGACAGATGCAAGGTCACACTGACCTTGACCTCTGACCACAGAAATCTAATCAGTTCATCATCGAGTCCAAGTGGACGTTTGTGCCAAAATTTAGGAAATATTGCAAGAATGGTATGTACTGATGGACAACCCAAAAACATAATGCCTCTGGCCACGTCTAACGGCGGCACGTGGACATTGGAAAAACAAACAAACAAACAAAAAAAACCCCGCATTGTTGGTGATATAGTTTATCTAGAGATAACATGCAGATTTTTTTCCCACCAATCACCAACTGATGGGTTGAAGAGTAGGTACGGCCAAGATTTTCTTTGGATAACTACAGCCCTACAAATCAACTCATTCGTCACTCAGCAGAACATATACTCAGCACTGTCCACAGATATATGTACAGCCTATAGATGACATCTTCGTTTTGCTCATCCATTCCTTCATGTCTAGTCTGAGGACAGGTGGGGGAAGAGCTAAGTCAGATACAGGAAGACCCCAATGGTGACTGTGGGGCACGTGCTGCTTTTATCAGGTGTCAGGGCACAGGCCAGTAAAGCAGCCACGACAGCTGCAGAAGGCATTAGCCCACAGCACTCATCTGGGCTGGAATTAGACTTCTGAGAAGGGGGCGTGGTGGCAATAATGGAGTGGAAAGCTGCTTGTAAAGAGGATATAATAATGGGTGCTAGATGCAGCAAAGTTGTAGCACAAGGGAATGTATAGAGAGCTTGCATGTATCCTCTACATCTTTAACCAAAAGATGGTGGCAAGTGTTTCCGACAAATCGGTCAATTGTCCATCTCAACACTTTGCATCTGGAGGAAGCTTAGGAAACATGATATTTTTGGCTGTTTTCTAAAAACAGCATTTATTTTTTTTTTCCAAATAGCTAATCCTGAGACCTTATAATGCTTTCTTTTGCTTAGTTATGCCACCGTCCCCCTCCCCACCAAAAAGCCAAGTGGGTCAGTTCTAAGGTTACAGCGTAAAACCCTGATGAGACACTAAGACACTATTTTGGGTAGCTTCAGACATGACGCCAAATATGCCTCGAGAGACACTGGGGTTATGAGACATACATGCACCTGAATATGATGTCTTGACTTTCAGTTCTAACTGTTCTGCTTTACTGCAACAACTTAAGGGAATGGTTTAATCATTAACTTAACACTAATTATTCAGGAAACAACTCAAAGATGAGAACAACCAGTCTCTAAATCTTCATGCTGCAATTTCTCTTTCAAATGTGGCACCTGTTGATCTTGTTTTAGTCACTGTCATCTCCACCTTCCCTAATTTATGGCTCAATATGACAATGTCCCCACTGGTGTTAGGTATCAGAGTATAGTGAAGTATATGCGCACATTTGTCCAAAGTCAATACACCATCCAACAGAGGACTGCATGCAAAGTTAGATTTTTCCGTGAGCATAATTAGGCCTGTCACAATAATATCAACATATCATATGATATATGGACATGACTCAATCACTTTGCTGACCTTAATAATGCCTGTAATATTTCTCTCCACCCCACTACTTGTGTGATTTCAAAGAAAACTAAAACACTTCAAAGACAACACAGCATAGCTTACCGCTAGCCTGCAGCTGCACATTTAGAGTAGAGGACGTACTGTTCTGATAGTAGTTAGCTTGCAAACCCCTGGCAACAATCAAAGCAGTTTGTTGTTTTACCTCCAACATCATCCTCCTCCATTCCGTAAATCCACCAAAAAACTGCCCAGCTCCCAGGCTGCCCTTCCCAGGGACCCGACTGCAGCACACCAGCCAGATTATGGAAGAAAACTATGGTGTTCCCAGAGCTTCACTAAGCTTGCCTATTAGTCGCAGGAGGCATCACTTGGTTTTGTTTTTATGGGCAAATTTTAAATGAAGTCTCAAACTGAGTCATTTTTGGCTACTCCTATTAATGGTACTGTAATTTTATCCATACTCTCTTAACAGATGTTAATTACTTATTAAAAATATTTTATATATTCCAATTCCTCTATCTGACCATTCTTAAGAATCTAAGAAGTTAATTGCTTTTTGTAAAGGTGTACTTGCATTATTATAATATCATTACACTGAACCCTGAAAATGACAATAATATAGTGTGTCGCAGTTATTTCTGGGATAATTCATCATCCAACAAAAATAGTTATCATGACAGGCCTAAGCATGATTCTCCTTTTTTGTGGTCTCCAAAGAAAATATAAGTGGAACCAATACATCAGGATGACCTGAACAGATTCAAAGTCTAGCTAAATTCATTAAAGCTCAGACAGCTTCTTTCCAGGCTACAACTGTGCTATAACTGCACTGCACTGTGTAAATGGGTATCTCAGGTGAGGTGATCTTACCTCGTCATCATCGTCTCCTGCAGGAGCACCACCCTCCTTACCACCGCTCTCCAAGAACTTAGTGAAGCCTTCCAGTGTTCTCTCCCCGTTGTAATCAATCACCTGTTGAACAGACATTATTTCTCATTAACAACCAAAATTCTGTCCTATCCCCATCCCAAAAAAGTCTTAAATACGCAAGCATGTATGCATGTCTTTCATTGCAAAAACATCACTGAGCCTTTGACACCCAACTCTGCCATTTAAAAGCAGCAAATTAACTTTGGCACTGTGTCTACAAATGGTGCTGATGAGTTGTCCAGAGATGATCTATGAGCAGTGACACAGCAACAAGCTGGTGGGATGAATGCTAAAAAAAGGCTGCGCATGAATAGGACAATCAAAGGACATCTGCAAAGCAACATGTTAAATTTTTAGCTCTTTAATCTGGCTGTAATGATGTGCTAGATGGCACTGTATGGCTGCCAATACAGCTGCATCCTTTAGTAGCCATTCTTGGGTCTTCTGTGTGCTTCATCTAAGTGGGGTCATGGGCTAATCCTAAAAGGTGGCCCCAGCATACACCAGTCATTTAAGTTTGCTAAACTCAAGGCTGGCACGTGAATGGCTGGTAAATAAAGGAGCACTTTGGAGAGAGGCAGGTGCAGGCTAAGCAGAGAGTGTCAATGTGAGTGAAGTCATCCAGCAGGAATCTCTTCGAACCAAACACCAACATAATGGTGCAGAAACCTATGAAGCCAGCAAGGTCAGGTTTCTGCACATGGTTAACACTGCTAAATCAAGAGGCACTAATGTTACTTGGAAGGCCAGTATGGCAATGATTTTGGATCCAAATAACCACCCAGATCAATATAACTCACAACTGCAAAGGCATGTAATGAATGAGAGGGCAGATCCAATTATTACAGATGGAGAGGAGATTGAAGGATTATCAGCACAACTGGAGATGTTTACAGAAGATCCTGAAGATAAGAGAGATGATGCCATGTAATGAGAAAAGAAAACATTATCTAGACAGCTGGAAACGCTCACCTTGCGCTCATCTCCAGCAGGGAAGAACTTAAGAGTGGGGAAGCTGTGGACTTTGACTGCCTCAATCTCATTGGCTGTGGAGTCCATCTTAGCCACGATGGTGTCAGCACTGTCCTTATACTTCTCTCCCAGCTTCTCCCAGATGGGAGTCAGCTGTTTGCAGTGTCCACACCAAGGTGCATCTGGAATACAACAGTAGTTTAGTCTTTAATCATAGCAGACAACACAAACAGTACACTTGGATTGGCTTTAGCTTATTTAGATACAGACTAGTAAAGACACTTGAATGCAAAATCATGTCATGCATTTTCTTTTCTTTTTTTTTCACAGACTGGATAATGCCCGCTTCAGACCAAAGATTCACAATGAGTTGATTCACAGACAACTACTTACAATGTGTTATTTTGCAACTTTCTAAAAACCTGCCGGTTCAAACCAGTGTAACTACATGAGACAATGTATGAATGAATAGGTGAATACTTAATTCATGTAAATTGTGTTATCAATTGAGATGCTAATTTTATCTGGCCAAAAACAGGCTTAAAACAAAATGTAATTAACGGAAAAAATGAACAGCTGACTCCTTGGAGTGGGATTTGGTACAATCAAATGCTTAACAAGACTTTTTTTAGCTGACCAAAATGTTACAGTTGACTTAAATGGACTGAAAACACACCATGAGAGGGTTAAAGATCTAAGATGAAAACATGGTGAAGTTCAAACGTAGTAGTGGTATCACTGTATTACAGTATACAAGGGTATTTAGAAATCCTGTCCCGCACACCAGTATCATATACCGTATACCACGGTGAAATTTAAGGACAGTATGAAGGTATGAAAAAGAAGATGCCAACCAAGCCTAGTACACAGTGCCATGGAAACACACACCTATGCCTCTATCCTGATTGATTGACCGTGGTAGCAACCTGTCAATCATAAGGTAGACCCACCCCAAAACATACCCTAACCATACCCATAACTTACAAAATTAACATCATGCTGAATTGAGGAAGACTTGAAACTAGTGCCTGAGATCATAAACTCATTGGGAAAATGAGAAGGAGAATCATTTTCTCATATACTTCTATATAACCTGACTTCCTTCTGCAACCAGTGAAGTCACCCCCTGCTGGCCATTAGGAAGAAAGCAGATTTAAGGCACTTCTGCATTGGCTTCACTTTTCAGACGCGGAGGCTGCATCAACTTCTTTTATACCATCTACAGTTTGATTTCAGAGAGGTACTATGCATCTGTACACTCTGCTGCAATGTATAGCTGGAAGCAGGCAAACAGAGAAAATGTCACATGCAGTTTCAGTTTCATGACCCTGCTCCCCTTTGACAGACTAGGAAACCCCCACCTCCTCACCTGTCAGGGAATATGGGCCTACCCCACTGCACACAACTGGCCACAAACCGTATTTAACAGCATGCAATGGAAAATTCCTCCAAAAATAGAGCACGTGTGAATGTGGATAGCTATAAAAAACATATTCCAACAGCTATATTTAACCAGCTCTTTTTAAAATTAAGTGTCTGGTAACAATTTAATTTGCTGAGAAGGGGGTTGAGAGGGTGAGTGGGCCCCTAGCATCAACTCTTGGTATTTGACAAAGGCTTAGCACGGGGCAAAGTAAGGACAGGCAAGATCTGAGATAGAGTTAGTGTTGGAGTTAGAGTTAGTGGCTAGAGGTTTTGCCAAATCTCCCACATCTGAGCAACTGAGTTTTGACTGCAAAAGACCCTTTTAAAAGGTGAACCCCTTTACCACCTCACAAACAGTATGCATTAATATATTTTAATGCAGTTATTATAAATAGAAACATCTGCTGAAATGAGGATGCTCTTACAGAATTCCACAAAGACGTTCTTAGAGGAATCGAAAGCAACCTCCTCGAAGTTCTTGCCGACCAAAACCTTGACAGGGGTTTTGTCCCAGTCTTCAGGGATGTCCTGACTCATGAGGTGGGGCTGTGGGACAAGAATTAGCCAACATTAATCACATATATCTGAAACATGCATGATGCTGCCAAAACTAACCACTCCCTTCTCTCTCACCTTGAGTTTGCCCTCAGTGAACAGTTTGCAGAATTGAATGATGCTCTCTGCTGTGATGTCATTAGTCTCAGGCTTGTACTTGGTCATCTCATCCTCCAGGGTGATGAGGCGGATGGCGGGGCACTCCTCTTTCTTCAGGCCGAAGAACTCCAGGATGCGCTGGTTGTCATCCACATCGCTGTCGATGAAAATGAACAGGATCTGGTACAGAGGAGACAGAAGAGGTCGTGTTCAGAATGCACATCAATCACATTTGACAGATTAAAGGAAAGTACACAAGCAGGGACTTTCAAACAGTTCACCTACCTGACCCTTGAATCCCTCTGCAGCTTTCTTAAACTGGTCCATTTTGTCCTGGAAGTCATCAGCAGTTTTGGGCAGGAACATGAGGATGTGGGACTTGATTTCTCCACCAAAGATTTTAGGGGCGGTCTGCAGAAAACAGAAATACACAAGACTGACATGTGAGGATAACACTTGGGTTTGTACTTCTTATTGCTGTGGACAGTAGTGGGGAGTGGGGAAAAGCGATCAAATGGTCACGTTGATGTGCACGGCCCCCGTCATTACCTGCTCTGTGAACTCAATGACCAGAGGCAGCTGGTTGGCCTTGACGAAAGACAGGAGGTTTTCTTTGGTCAGCTCTCCATCAAAGGTATTGCGCCCTTCATCAAACTGTAAAGGAAAGATGGAAACATTCAGATACAAATATCATCCACCCGCAGTCTGCCTGTGAACACCAACATAGATTTACCAGACAAACCCCTTTAAAATCCCCTGGTGACCCCTGCTGACAAAAGAGCCAGTAGCCCCAATGGACTTTTATTAAGTGTTAAGAATAGCAGTGGTACAGCTGTACCGAGCAACCCTTACTGGCATACACTAGGAAAAACGCCATTTGGCCGGTGGCATACCACCAGCCATGCAGCCACTGACAAAGGTGATGAAACTTAAGCCTCAATCCCTGTTGCAATAAACAAGTAAAAGACCCCAGCTGTTTATTGAGACTGAGCCCCAGCTTTAAAAGGGTTTGCCCAACTGTAGGCAACAAGCCAACATGTCAGTAGTGTTTGTATCAGGGTAAAGTTACCAACGTGGATCAGAGGCCAGACAATGGCAGTGAGGGGATTGAGCCTTGTGCCAAAATGAGAGAAGATAATCCATAACTCAAAATGACTGAGGTATTTAGAGTTCGTTGTTTCTTGTTAAGGCAGCTTGGGCTGCATGAAATTATTATGTCATTACAGATCCACTGCAACCTATAAAATGTCACAAACAATGATGCTCATCACAAGGTACCAGAGCAAAAAAAGAGAAAAGGCATGGCTGTTAAAAATGTACTGAAATAAACAATCAACACTGTATAAACCAGTATATACCGTCCGCAACCTTAGGCACCTTGTCTTGAATATATTTGCCAAATTTTGAGGGTTAAATGCCATTTTAAGACTAAACAAGGCTGGATTCATCAAACTTCCCAGGTATGGGAAGCAAGCAAACATCTTCAAAGTCTGCCACTTCTAAAAGTCATGCCTGTAACAGCAGGGGGTTAAACAAAATATAAAATTTTTGTTAAGTTTGTTTATAAAGAAGATTGGTGGAAGGTTGGTCAGGTTATGTTTGGTCCATGCTGGCTGTAGCATCCCTGGCACGAGCTTTGTGCAACAGAAAATTGCATAATCACCCTTTCTGCGTCGAGTGCATAGGCTCTGACAGCTGTCGCAACGCTTGTTGTGTACCTCTGAATTTTTGTTACTAGGTGTCCACTGCACACGCTGTGCTTTTCAGTTCAACAGGGAGGATTGGCAACACAGGTTCACCTGTTCAGACATCTCTAGTAACAACTCTTTATTGAGAGACCATAGGGAAAGTCAACTGCCCTTAAATTATTGGAAAGAAATATCCACCACCCTGGGGAAAGAAGAGGCTTTTTGCCACAGGGTGTGGGAGAACATGAGAGATCGCTGTAAAAGCTGGGGAAAAAAAAAAAACTAACAAAAAAGCAGCTTACTTTCTGTTAACATTCTTCTGTTGTTGACTTCTTGTTTAAACACAATATTTTGTTTGTATGCTGCCTTGCATTTCAGGGCATATTGCAACAGACAATGCATTGAGCATAAACATCTCTGTACATGCTCAGAGCTTGCTCGCCATCTACAGAGGCCCACGCCACAGTGTCTCTTGCTTGCTCTCATATATAATTACAACGGCCTGATTATGGGAATAAGAAGAGGAAATGTTGCTATTCACATTGCCTACATGAATGGAATAAAATGTTAGAGATCAGTTGATTTAAATTTTGCTATTGTGTTGTAATTACACATAATGTTAACCTAATGTTGATATGACACATTGATTCACACAAAAATTTAAAATGGCTTGTCATATCAGAAAGTTTGCCAACCTCTGGTATAGAGCTGGGTATCACCACTGATTTCCTGAATCGAGTCGATTTCGATTCAAGGGGTCCCGATTCCATTTGATTTCTGATTTGATTCGATCCCATAGCGATTCGACTGGAGATTTTTCAGTTACAATACCAGTTTTTGGCAGTATGTGAAAGAGATTCTCAGAGAACTAACAGTGTAACATTTACAAGGAATTATTTTTTAAAAAAGAATAAATTCACAACAGGAATAAAACTGAATATTTTAAAACTAAATGTTGTTTCTAGAGCAGCAAAAGTAATATTAAAACAGCAAAGTCACAATATAAACTTAACATCTCACTGGAAACAAATTTAAAATGTCAGTAAAATAAATTATATTCCTGACATCACAATACTGAGTGAAGTTTGGAAAGAATAAAGAACACAGACATCAGTCAGCATCAGTCCTGCTGTCCTCTCTGCTGCTGAGGAGAGTCACTACCTACAGGTCACATGACCACCAGTAAGTTTTAAGATACAAGACAAACTGAGCTAAACCATTTAACATAAACAGTTGTTGTTGTTTCAGCTTGTTAGTAACAATTTGCTATTAGATTGAGAGCACTCTGGGCTTGTTTATAACATAATATTGGTGGCGGTGGATGAGAGACTACGGACAGAGCAGATTGAAATATCGCTTTTCTACATGTTTACATGTTGCTGATCAGCTGTATTGATAAAGTATTAACTTTTCCCTTGAGAAGGTTTTATTGCACTCAGAGTAACAAGTGTAGTTGTCATCAGCTCACGTTGTCTTCGCCTCTCTGTGTTTGTGTGTGTCTGTGTGTGTGTGTAAAAGTGGTGCAGCAGCCAGGATGTACAGACAGCAGGAGGAGACATTGCAGCGTGATAATAAATTACACGCAAATGTACAAAACCAAGCTAACAGCTAACAGTTACAGATAAAAGAGCAGGTGACATCAGAGGTTCTCAAAACTATGCTGTGGCTCGTTTTACTACTGGCAAGATTAACAGGGTTAAAGCTTCACACATCTGTTGGAAAAAGTGTATATCTAAAGATCGATCTCAGACTTTACGAATCAATATCGGGTCATTCCAGTGAAGATCGATTTGAATCGGATGTATTGATTATTTTAACCCAGCCCTACTCTGGTATATACTATAAAATCACTGTGTGAAACAATTAGCAAAACATGATAAATCTACAATTACAAAAAATCTACAACTATAATCTAACAGCACCTTAAAGGAGTCCAAAACACTTAATTTGCACCCATGCCCACACACACTGATGACAGCAGTGCTGCCACACAGGGACCTTGTCTGCTCATTAGGACTGGGTGGGGTTCAGTGTCTTTTCAGTAATTAAATCGCAACCCTCAGTGGTTAAATACACACATCACCAGCTCCTGAGGAAACCACATCCTTTAACTGTTAAATGCTCTATGTTCATCAACTGGTTGGGTCGCAACAGTATGACATTTCCATTGTTAGTTCATCAGTTACAATGACCCTTAAAGAAATTAAAACACAGACTTTACTGGTTGAAGAATTATTTTATCATAAGCTAAACTCCTTTTTTTAATTTGAGCTCGATTGAGAGCACACAGCTGCCAGTCATTCCTCCTCTAATCATAGTCAATGGGGCTAGTTGAAAGACGCACCACACCTAATACAGCTCTTCACTATTCATCACCATCAGCTCAACATGCTGAAGTCGTTCATCGTGTAGGTAGAGCAACATGTCCCAAGGCACGTATGAAACACTAGAGACGAGCCAAGATTAGCAACGGAGAGTAGATATTGTGAGGTTGACTGGATCACATTACCATAACACGAGAATGTGTTTCACAAGCTGATGCAAGGCCAATAACAACCTATTTACAATATATTATGATGACAGCTGGGACAGTGAGTAAACACTTCAAATAATGACGAGTCAACCAATTAAGAATCTGTATCTTATGATTCATCCTGTGACCACAGTTGATGTTTGAATACACATCGATGGAACATTTGTGTGCCGTTATATTTAGGCTGCATGCACCTTACATGCCTCTATGGATTCTGAACAAACTGTTAAGGTACAGTGAAGCAAAACTGGAATTTAAAGTCACCTTCTTGAAGAGGACAACGCTGTCCTTGGACACCTCAAACTTGGAGAAAACAGCATCGTCTGCGGTCATGGCGAAGGGAATGTCATCTGTGGCTTCAGCTGCTTTTTCGTAGGCCTTGGCGCCATCAGATTCAGCATCCTACAGGCACATGAAAACATTCTGTAAGATAAAGAACTGTGCAAGTGATCCCAAATGATCACTTTTTTAAACATTTATTTTAGATGCTTTGAAAGCAACGAAGCAGAATGACGAAGATGATGCCAGAAAATCTATATCTGAGTTATATCGAAATAATGAAGTTATTCAGTGCTGGATCTAGTGTATTCGGCACCCTAGGCAGCTGCCAGTGTTTCTCATAGGAAGATATTGCAGGGTTTTTCCTGTACTGAGAACAACAAGGTTGTCAAATTTTGTGCCATCTCATGCTTTGTCATTTGTAACTGCTATTGTGGCACTATGTCAATGTGCTGGCAACTGCCAACGAGGAAGAGGAGAGCCATCTATTTTTTGGCTGGAACACAGCAAAGAGGGGGATAGCCCAGTGCGCCAAAGTGATTCTGTTGGAACTGTCTTTGCCACCACAGCCAAAACAAAACTGACTGAAGAAAACAAAAAGTCCTTCTCCCTGCTGCTCGATGTCTGAATATACTATATATATGCCAGTTGGCATTCATAAAGCTGTTGCCAACAGCAGCCTGAAATTGAGAACATCACTCAGTGCGCTTCCACATATATGCCTGGGCGCCACCTGGTGCAGCGACTACAACATTTACATCAGCTAATTGTGGGGAAATAAAGTAGGTTTATTAATCAACTTTTTCCCTACTGTATCAAATACATCAGTTTAAACAGATATGTGTAGAACAGGGATGGTGAACTTGCTTAGCGTGGGGGCCACTGGAGGAGGCCGGGGGCCAGTTAATAATAATATTTATCATATAAAATGAAGAAACAAGGCAAATCCAGTCACAGCAGCCACAGACAGGTCAGGTGTATGCAGGGGTGTTTCTAGGATTTGAGGACATGGGTGGCTCAGCCCCGACCCCGGATCCTCACCATGAAACTTTTTGTAATATACAAGTTCTATTTTTTAAAAGGAGTTTTAATGCACTTTGGCACCTAATGTACATTAAAACTCCCAAAAAATCCCAGTGTAAATCAATTTATTTTCACGGTGAATTAGATAATGGTTGGCAGGCCACCCTGCACCCTATTGCAGATCAGATCTGAGTATCACTGGTGTAGAACATGATAGTTTGAATTAATGATTCAATTAGCTGAAATTGCCAGTCAAAGGCCTAGTATGCGTATTTTTTTTTCTAGCTGTTTTGCATTCACTGATAGAATTACTTGTCAAGTTCATTGGTTTTGTTCAACCTTTTAGAGTCGGAATGAAAAATGAACCCCATGTACATTACAACACATCTTATTAATACTGCTATTACAATACATCTGAGAACGCGACTGCCACAAATACTGATAAAAGTACATAACTGAGAATAAGATGTAAAATAATCAAAGTACATTATAAAAACAGGATGGGCTGTTTTTTAAACTGTCTTGTAAAAGTGTGTGAGGGGCTACCTTAAAAACAATTATGTTTGAATATTTAATATCCAGGAATTCAAAATCTACACTCCACCACTGACTATGTGACAATCTGCCCAAAATGTATTAATAATTAATATTTTCTTCAATCATGCAATTATTAAAATTCCTAAAATACATTACTTGTAAAAATAAAAAATAAATAAATAAAAAAGTGTTTGCTTGAGCCAGTTTAAGGCATGGTGATAATTGTGCTCCTGAGGAAACAAAGCATCGCAGCTTGATGTTGGCAATGCCACACAATAGACAATCTAAGCGATATGGTGATTCATTTTGAGATATCATTCTGTATGTTTATTGAAACTCAACAGTATTACATCAACCATCCAAAAATCTGACCAGAAAGTTTAATCTAGCCTTTACTGAAACTGAAACTTGTATTACTCAGACCTTCAGAGTTCAGACTCGTACCTTAAAGAATCCGATGACTGCCACCTCACTGTCAGCGATCAGAGACTCTGCCTCAGTGACTCCTGCCAGGGTGGCGACGGCTGGGCCTGTGCGTTTTTTCAGCCAGCTGACAATGTCATCTGCCTGCCTGCCAGCTGCATCACAACACAACACAATAACTCAAGCAATTCTGTTTTCACAGACATCATGGGACTGATCAAAAGCCACTAGTCAAAGGCTAAACATTAACAATCTAAATAAAATATGGACAATGTGGTCCATGTGATATTTGGGAAGCAGAACACATCCTACTCAGTATTTGAACAGACCCAGTTTGACAGATAGGGGTATTACCTGATCTGCGTAAGGAAATTCGCACTGACTCTGCATTGGTTAAACTAAATATGTGCAGGCACAGAGACACTGTTCATACATTTTCTGGTGTAAAAGTTTAAGCGCATTTTGAAAGTGAAAACATAAAAGCTCTGCATTAAACTACCAGCTCTCAACTTCAGATGACAATACAGAACACCCTCATTTGTTTCACTTTCAAATTCAGACACCATGTTGTGTGATAAGTGAATTATAAAAACTAAAAATCAACTCTGTGAGGCTCAAAAAACATGACTACCTTTCTTTGGAGTAAGACTGTTGAAATTAACCTGGAGTCAAGATAGACCTGACTGTCAGACTGAACTGGTGATGCAACATAGTAGCAATTTCCCTGAGAAAGACAGTGTGATGCAGCACGTAGTCTTGGAGCGACGCTGGGAGGTTTGTGGTAGTGGTTTCCATAAAAACACCACTTCTCAACCTACTCTCCCTTCCTCTTGAAACCGAGCCTAGCCCAGGCCAGCAGAGAAGAGGCAACGTGAGGAACTGCACATATCTCCAGTGGCTCAGCGTCAGCATGAGTGGAACGTGCAGGGGGAAGCCCAACCCACATTCTGCCTCAGTCATGTCGCTGAAAGCTGATTGGCTGACCTACAGTTTATGCTGCTGTGCAGATCATATTACTGGGATAAAGAAGGTCGGAAGGGCTCGCCTCTAGGTCTCAGAATGGGTTCTTTATGCCACCTATAGAGTCTTTCACTACATTATATTATGAAATAATATTCACTCACCTTTTTTTATGAGTTTAATAGTTTCTCAAGATTACATCACTTTGTAAAAAAAATAATAAAATCTCCCATTCATTAAGTTGCAGGGAAAAAAACAATAAGTTGCACAGTGGGAGAAAAATACAATTAACATTTTTTAAAATGGCTGTATGAATAAATTCAAATACAGAAAGTTATATGATGTAATTTGGGAGAATAAGAACATCATAAACATCCAAATCTAACTTGAGTAAAGAAAACCCCTCATCAGCAGATACCACTATATAAATGGAGTTTAAGAGGAACACCACCTAAATAAGGAATTCCAAAAGGTTATATTCATGGCCATGGACATTTCAGTCAATATTTGTGAACATGACCTACTCTCTGTCAAAGCCAGAAACCAGATCTGCTCTATAGACAGTGAATGGGAGACTGATTTTGTGGACATACAGAATGTTTTCTTTTCTGTACTTAAATGAGCTTTATTCTATTATGGGGTTCTCAGTTCTGAAACAGAAAATGTTCCCATATATCAGAACATTTCCCTGCATGCAGTCAGTGTAATCTAGAACATTTTTCACCGTTCATTGTCTATGGAGAAGCTCCAGACTCTACACCCAATAACATCACAAATTTGAGTTTTTGCACTTGCGTTTTTGGATTTGGGAGAGAGTTGTTCAGGTTTACAAATATTGTTGGACTGTCTTAGGCCATGAAGGTATGGATGGGCATGTATGAACTTTGAAAATCGGCTAACTTCCCCTTTATTTCCAGCCATTGCCTCAAACTTCCAGGTAATCTGTCTCGTGCAAGAAAAAAAAAATCACAATAAGGCTCACCAGAGTACTCTTTGGGTGACTCCTTCTCTCCGCCCTTAAAGAACTTGATGGTGGGATACCCCCGGACGCCATACTCTTGAGCCAGTTCTGTCTCCTCCGTAGCATCAACCTTACCCAGGCGGACTTCTGAACCCTCTGACTTCAGCATGCCGGCGGCCTTGGCATACTCCGGAGCCAGGGCCTTGCAGTGACCACACCATGGGGCATCTGCAGGAGTGTCAGGAAGACATTTAGCAGGAAACCCACCAAATATAGACATTTGCATTGTTTGAGATAAGTAAATCTGATCAGACAGGGTGCTAATTTTTGGCACAAAAAGATACCACTGGAAGACAACAGGTATATAAAACATGCAACGTGGCAAATATGGAGCTCCAATTAGCTGCTGTCATTAATAATCACACTGAATGATTTTTCTGATGATCAGCCATGGCCAACTATTTCAATAAATGTTTACTTGTTACGAAATATTTTTCAGCTATGCTACTTAAATGTGAGGATTTGCTGCTTTTCTCCATTGTATTTAATTGCAACTGACGTGGAAAACCTTATTTACAGAGCATTTTCATAAAGGGATGAAGTGTACAGTGTTTTATAAGAAAGATGCTAGTCAGAAAAAACAAGTATTGGGATTTTTGGGACTCAGAACTTTTGATCAGCATTTTATATTTTGACTGTTCATAAACTAAACTTTCTTTACAACTTTTGGGAAAGTGTAACCTTTTTAAAAGGACTAGTCTGAACTTTAAAATAACTGGTGATTAGTGGCAGGAGCAAACTACTATCAAATGCAGCATAATCTAATTGCTACTGTGCTTTCACATGTTAATTTGTAAGCCATGGTATTAAACCTTACATATAAAAGCCTGGACACAAATTCCAAGCAGATAATCACCTTATCAGAAATGACACGTCAAATAGAATGACCTGCATTGCATCACCTTAGATTCTTGACAAACAACAAAACTTCCTTGTTCCAGTGCAGCCAATATAAACGCACAGATGAACTTTTGTTAAGTACACGTCAACCTAGCTCCACATCCCCACTGAGATCCCGCCCAGTGACAAATACGTGGGTGAAAAGAAAAGCCTTCATCCCTCCCATCCCGAGCTCATTGGAGAAACTTGCCCTCGGCCATCTCTGACTGGTCCACTGATTTGTCACACAGGATGTGAACAGGTCAACAATGTCACAAAAGTAAAGCGGGATGGGCCTGCAGGCTATGGAGAAGAGGCTGAATAGAGCCTGTGCTGTGACACGCAAACTTCTGTTTTATTAGAGAAAAATACAGCAACAGAGACATCCGGGCTGCACAAACACTGAAACTTACAGTGTGAAACCACGGCAGGCAATCGAAACGTTATGGCCTTTCACTTAAATGATACTCATTTCGCTTCTGGCTGATTGAGGTGATAATGGTTATGTTATTAGAGCTTTATCCCGACAGCAGTAGTGATAGTGCACGGCGGCAGTGCCGACTTTTTAAAACGCAATAAGGTGCGCTGTTTTTAGCCATCTATAACACCATGGGGTTACAACGTTAGCCAAAGCAAACATATGGCTGAACAAAAGTTGCAAATGCATACAGTTAGCATTAAAACAAGTTGCGGGTTGACGTTAATGCGTTGTGCCAAGTTTCGTATCCTCATCAGACTCCGTTCACACTTTGAGGATACTCGGCGCTAGGTAACGTGAGTCAAATTTAATGGAAATGAGTCTGACAAAGAGAAAACGCAGTCTGATAAACAATGCCCCGTCATTTTTATACTCAGTTCGAACAACGGTGAAATAGCTGCTGTGAAAACAAGTGCAATATATTCACGCATGGATGCAAAATTAAACATGACATCAGTAAGTTAGCCGCTAACCGCAGCAACTTGTCAGAAGTGTCAAAGTTTAATGCTAACATTAACCCAGGCTGAATCAAGCTAACGTTAGCTAGCCGTGCAGCCGCTGAGCCTGCCGAAGACGGCTAGCGCTAGCTGGAGAGATTTTGTAGCTACGGTTTACTTACAGAATTCAACCAGGAGGTTAGGGTGAGCTTGGAGAGCCTCGTCGAAGTTACTTTTCTTCAGCACCAGGACATCTTCTTCCTCACTGATCTCGGCTCTGCTGGCCACAGCCAGTGTGCAGATGAGCAGAAACTTGAACATAGTTGCCGTCGAGTATTCTTCCTGGTGGAGAGACGAGAGCTGCAGACACGCTCGGTTACGGTTTAGCTGTGAAATTGGCCTTAGTTTTGGTCTTTTTCCTTGTTTAAGGTTGGGAGAGTAGCTGGTATTTTGTGTCTACCGCTACTAACGTGGCACCGCACGCAGAAACCGGAGGGGTCAACCGTAGTGCGCATGCGCATTTATCAGGCCGAAAGCAGTTCGTGTTGAAATGTGACTGGACCGCAGCGGGCTGTACCTGGAAGTGAATAAGCGGCGCTCCCTGCGCCGTGATGGCATGCCTACACATCAGCCCTGACTGATAACACACTGGGATCCTCAGCAACTGAATGGAAAACATGTTTTTTAAGCACCCAGACTATTTAAACCCACAAAGTCATCTATATCTAAACAGTTTAAATCATTTTTTTTTGGGGGGGGGTTATTCAAATGTGTTAAAAACTATAAGTTCCACAAGTGAAATATGTAAACTGTTTTGTAACTTGGGTATTTACAATATTTGTTTCAGACTCTGGGCTGTGTATGAGTGTAGCATGTGCATGTAACTGTGACTGATGCAACAGTGTGGCAGTTGGTGTAGAAAAGTGCTTTTGTGTTTGCAAAGGGGAAAGGCCAAAGTCTGAATGATGAGTAACACTTACACTGTGTCATGTGAGGTTTTTACCAGCAGCCCTGCTTACACTCCAAAGGTGTATCATAGGTAGCTTAATTACTGATATTCTGGTGAGGTTAGGGTTAAAACAAAAAAACGTTTTCTGATTTACCTCTGGTGGTGTAGGGAGCCTTGTAAGGATCACAATGGTATTTTTTTCCGAACTACTTTTGCTTTAAATTTACTCACAATACATTTTGTGTTCCCCCAATCCATCCATGTGTTGGTGATTTCCAGTTACAAAGCACAGCTAGTTTAGGGAAATGTCAAACAGACACAGTACAGAAAGGGGAGATAATGTGACACTTGACATGTTGTGTTTATCGCTCATTTGTGCTTTAAAAAGACCAACCTGCCTCAGTGTAGGCCATGGGTAGGAATCTTGCTGCTCTGGAGCCACATGTGGCTCTTTAGACCCTTTTCAGTGGCTCCCAGTGGCTCCTCCTGTGCTCTTTGCACACACAATGTTCCTGCAGCATCTGTAAATGGATTATCAAAGCCATGGGAGCTGTGGGAGATGCAAACATTATTATTATGTTTTGATTTATAAAGACACATAAAAGTGGGATACAGTCTGGTATCTGTCTCTGGAGCCACATGCGGCTCTGTAGTCCCTCTCCAGTGGCTCCCTGTGGCTTTGACAAAAAAAAAAAATCTTAATGGAAATGAATAATGGTCTTTTTTTAACTTTTTAATTTCCATTTATCATTGTTGTGGGTCTAAAGAAATTCTCACAACTGAAAAATGTGTAGTTTACAAACCAAAGTAACAGAGAAGAAAAAAAAAGGTTTTAACATTTCATCAGCTAAAATGTGCATCATAAGTCTACAGCCTGGCACCTTTTTCCTCTAAATTTTGAACTGACCCTTCCTAGCAAAGCTGGCTCTGGAGTTTCTGAAGAAAAAGGAGAATTTAATAGTGCGTGGACAGATTTGTTTTCGTTTTCTGTTAACTCTAAATAGCCCACTGCAGAGTAGCCAGAGTAAAACATATTAATTAATGTTCATTTAGACCTGTTAGTAATGCTGGTTGGCTAATTTATACTTAATAGGCAGTGTTACCCTCTTTGTGGTTCAAATGTGTTTTGGACTACTATGGCTGCAGTTGTGATTGACTCTATGATGTCATGGATATGGCTATGGTAGCTGTACTGTGGTCAGGGATGGAGCACAAAATTCTGGACTCTGTACTGGCATTAGATGGGCCCTTCCTCGCACCCAAAGCTGTTCATTCTAGTATCCTTTGCTATATTTTGACTGCATGGTACAGCAAAAGCTGTACAAAGAATTTTGTATCTAGTACTCTGTACAACTTCAGGTGGGGTCAGCCAACACTAGACGGTGATGTTAAAGCCACTGACTGGACAGAAGGAATTGTCATTTTAATCATTTTTAAATAGCCAAGCTACCAATATAATGGTGACCACATTTTTTTTTATTCATTTGACCCAGATTTAAAAAAAAAAAATTCAAGAAAGTTGCTGTCATAAACTAGCAAACATACTGTAGGTTGCTACTTAGATGAAGCTAAAGAGAAGCTAGTTGAATCAGACATTAGTGTCTGGTCAGTATGTAGAGAAGGGGGGCATCCGCTGTTTGTCCACTTCATCTTGATATAAGAACTCCGCAACATACAAGTAAGTGTGGTTATGACACTGCAGGTTTCGAGGGCTTTGCTGTAGCTGGTGTGGGTATAACATATGTATGTAAGTGAATGCAGAACTTGAGAAGCAGTTCAGCAGGTACAGTTGGGGCTCACATCCAGAAATATTGCAGAGCAGGTTCAACTGGTGCAGGTTGATAAGGAAATTGTCACTGAAAACACACACAAATAACCAGTGCATTCTAATGGTGTGAATCCTTCCTTCATAAAGTTTACAATGTTCACTTATTGTTGAAACCTTTTTCGAAAAGCTGTATGATATTTTGGAGGCTGCAGTTTGTGGTGCTGTTGAATTGTATTGCGTCACATTTACAGGTGTTTCTATCATTTTGTCCACCTCTCAATGCAATACAGTTCAACAGTAACACAAGCTGCAGCCTCCAAAAATGATCATTAAGTGTAAAAATCAGTAAGTTAATTCATCCGTACACCAATGGAGGAAAAAAAAGAGGAAGGAAATTATTTTTAAGGACAGCTAAAAGAGGGCAGAAAGTGCCAAATATCAAGTTTATTTTCAGAAAATACTCAAGTATTCAAGCTGTTTGTTAAGGGGCAGACTTAAATGCATGAAGGCCTATTGTCACAGTAACTATGTGACGATAGGCCTACATGGATAGTTTTCAGTATTGAAGTTTGCTTTTGTAAGTTACACTGTCAAGACAGATCAGAAAATAATCATCAAAATAGTCGCAGCAGTGGCAAAGATATCCTGACTTTAAGTCTCTGCATGAGTCCATGATACACCATTAAAACACTCAGACAAAAGAGACTGACCACCTGGTTTGCCCCTGATTTTGCAGTACTCTTTTAGTAGACGGTGTCACCTTGATGATCCAACCAGCTGCTCAACGTTCAGATAGATGCTTATAATCAAATCTCAGTGATATCTGTTCAGACTGTGTGCTGTCACAGGCCATGTGTTTAAGTATGATTACTCAGGGACACCTATGGCAAACAGTAGTTATCTGTGAGCAGCCAGCTTTCTGTTTTCGGTTCAGTGCAGCCTTTAAGTGTTATACAAAGGTCCCACAATGAGTTACACACTTGACAGATATTATATAGAATATTAAAAATATTCAGTGTTTACATTGCAGATATAACATAGTCTTCAGTAAACTGCATAAAGATGGTGACTGACTCTGGCCTCAGGGGCCAGTCTGTAAGATGTAGGGCGATCTATTGGCAGAAATGGGGTATATTCATAATTTATATGTGTAATTAGTGTATAATCATCTGGAACTAAGAATCATTGTGTTTTGTTAGCTTAGAATGAGCCGTTCATACATCAACCTTGTCCCCTAGAAATAATGCTTATATACATTTTGAAACAGCAAACACTTTTTGAGGGAAATGTAATCGCGAGGAAATTACTTTTTTTTAACATAATGACGAAATCTTGCTAATTATCGTACTTGGTAAGTGGCAAAAATGCTGACACTCAGCCAACACATTCTCACAAGTGAAAGTCAGTGGTTATTGGACCCATCCACCACCTGTCCCACTCAGACTTTTCGCACTCTTAACTTATGTTGTTGTCCCACCGCCTTTCCCCCTGACACTGTCAGGCGCCATTACATAATGACGGCAACCAGCTGCGTATCATGCCGACATGAAAGGAGGGCTTTTTTCGTTGGTGACTGAAGTTGGAAGTCACTGCCCAACCACTGATATTTGACGACCGCGGAGTGAGACCAGGTTGCACTGAACGTATCAGCAAAATGTTTACCGAAAACCTATTTCAGTTGTTTTCCACCAAAATATTTCTCAACCTTTTACCAAGATTATTTAATTAAATTAATTATTAGAACACAGGGCTGCATGTATATATACTGAGCAAATTCTCTTTTACAGAGCCTGCCATGTTGCACCACTATGTTTCTACAGAAGCCCTGAGCAGACAAACCAAACGCTGGCTCTAGATATGGCCTTTTGGGTTTTTACATTGAAGTGATGGCCACTGTGGGTTCTACTACATGCTTGTAACGGGTGAGCAGAGGTGTAGTCAGTTGGTTGCAGTCTGCAGACTCACCACTAGATGCCATTAAATCCTACACACTGCACCTTTAAGAATTACTTCCTAACAAGTTCAGTAGTACTCCAGGTCAGGAGTATTTCTGTGTTACTGCAATCAGCTGCATTTTAAGAGAAAACGCGTTTCAATGATGGATATCTCATTTTGGAATGAAACTCTTTGGCCATAACACACCAGGCAAGTTTTGGTCATATTTCATTTGGATGGACTGCAAAATGAGACTGGTTCAGTTTCCTGGCAACAAGCTTTTCTGAATGACGCAATAATGTCAAGTCATATTAGTATTCACCCTCAGCTCCCTTAATTCAACAACGCTAACTCTGGAGCTACTATAAAATGTGATGTGATATGGCTGCCGTTGTCACGTGGATAAATTACAGTTGCTAGTATCATGTTTATCTACAGTCTTTGTAAATGAGGTGTTCCGGAAATGACTGTAGTACTCTGCGGACTGGTGTTTGATTTAACTAGATCCTGTCAATATTTCACAGAGGATAACAGATTTGGTGTGTGCTTATGCAGTAATAGTGCATGTACAAATACTGTTTGTAGCACCTTAATGTCCCAGTGCCAACTTCATGTTTTATTTCCAGCAAGGACAAAGAGTCAAATGGCCTTCCTGACTTTGTGAAATCACACGTGTCATAAATGCGTGGCACTCCTCAGTTTGACAGAGCAGCGTGCTCTGCAAGCTGATTGGTGGAAGCAGTTTAACGGTTTGTCACTTTTGCACATGGTTGGTGCACATTCTTACATCAGTCACAGAACCAGAATATCCTTGTGCCAAAATACTTATAACACATCAATCATATAATGATATAAAGTCATT